CTGCAATTTTGTCTTAACAACTTGTTGTTTGATGATTGGGATGATGGATGGCTACTTTACTTCCAGCGGCAAATTAATATTCATATTCAGGACGAGAACATGTTAAAGTAATATGACTATTAACCCTGCTTTGTACTAGACCGACAAGCTGAGCCGGAGTTTTAACGTGCAAGTTCACAAGGAAATAGTCCGCAGAAAGACATGTAACCTTACCCGGACACATTATTCTGACTCCGAGCCGACTAGTCTTTGCTCTTACTCCTTAATGCCGTGTGCTTAGCGGGGAAGCAGCAAATACCAATTTTAAAGTCTTTGGTTTGACCCGGCCGGGTTCGAACCCACCACCTCCTGCACTCGAGGCGAACACGCTACAACGAGACCACCGAGGCGGTTATGTGTTTGAGAATATGAAATAAGATGGAAGTAGTAAGTAAAAAAAATATTAAGCGTACAAAACGTTATGATAGTTATTAGTGGGGTTCGTGTTGCTCAATCAATAGTTTTCTGTTGTTTGTCTGTTGATCGTTTTCTTTTTTTAGGCATGGCATTGTCAATTTATTTTCTACTTATGAGTTTGAATGTCCCTTTGGTGTCTTTCGCCTCTCTTTTTTATTCGCTTGTATGAATGAAGTCGCGTGCATTCCATTGATAAATTTGTGCGGATGGACATGAACGCGTAACGTTGCTGCACTGTAACGTGACGTCGTTGTCTAATATTTTCGAGTATCAGATCCTGTCCATGATACAGAAAAATATGAGGCAGTAAGATCAAAGGGAAAATATACAAATTACAGATCAAAAACTATATTGCGTTCATGTTCATCATTTTAAACGTTTCTGTCTTCAATATTATCATAACGTCATAGCTGTGGTACATGGTATGATTTCCCCGATATATGTACATATAGGAATGCGAAAATACTTCTTTTGGTTCATATAATAATTCTTGAATACCCGAAGGAAATAGTTGAGCTCATACAGCAACATTTGTCAAGAGAACCTCTGGATAAATATTAAAACTTGAATAGATGACGCATTTAATGCTTGTTGTGGTTCTGAAAATCGACTTCGACGTTCGCAATATTTGGCTCAAAAGTCAAGTTTTCATTCATCTCGAATCTTTAGACGGAAAAATTATTGTTTCTTGTATATAATAAATTCTTTACTATATGTCTATAGAAAATCGAAAAGTACGTACATTGCGATTTAACAACCATAATTAGTTACCGACCGTGTAAGACCCTCATGGGTAGCAAAGGTCGTTAAACCCCCCCCCCCCCCCCCCCCCCCCTCGTCGTCGTCGTTGCCAGAACTAGGCATTATCTTACCTTTACTAGAAACGACTATGCAACTGTTATTTCGGGGTATTGGAAAGTATAAAAACACGACTACAAAAAGGCGTCACGTGCATTACGTGCAAATGCACAGTAATGGTTTTATAGAAGAAAAGAATGAAAGAACAATGATAAGCCTATTCCCAATTATGTGTAGTCGTCCCTTGAAACCTGACTTCTCCCTCACATATCAAGAGCATAATTTATCTACTAGATGATCGTTATACTAAACTGCAATTAATTTCGACATTTTGAATTGTTCCGTACTGCGTTGCAACTATTGTGTTTCTTTGTATGTCTTTCTATTACTATAGGGAAAACGGTACTATTTATTCTGCCATATGTGACAATACTAACATTTTCTAAATTTACCACTTTTTATAATAAAATCCCGGATAAAACAGTTATGTGTGGTGTTAGTACTTCATTATTCTGTTTTAAAAATTGAAGCCAAATAGTATCATGACCAACTTCCAACGGAGCTTGTTAATGTTATCCATGCCCACCGTCATTTTACACCAAATTTATGAAATTTTTTAAGTCTTTTCGAATAATTCTCTAGAAAATATTTCAATAGGTTTTAAAATTTATATTGTAAATATACACACTGCAGTTATTCATAGATAAATAAAAAAATATATTGTACCCTAACATCCAATCACAGCGCTCCTAAGTTGACTTCCTTCACCTGTCTTGGGTACACAAAAAGCCAACCTAATGCTGGGAAAATGTAATAGTACCGTTTTCCCTATACTGTGACATAAAGATATAAAGAATTCTTATGACACCATTAATGCAATACTGAGTTATTGTGAAAACCTTGGCTATAATAAATACTTGTATGTTCCCATTACTTAAAGAAACATGGATAATTTAATGTCCCCACCCCTACATGCTGGTTTACCTCTTTCTCTACTTCTTTCAGATAAGGCTTAATAAACAACCTGTATCCAATCATATCTTATCTTATTTAAAAAAGAATAATAAACAGTTCCGTTTAAACAGATAAAATGACAGTTCCATTCAATTTGTATTCATTTCATCCAAAATTTACAACATAAGCACAAACTCAAGATTTTTCATACCAATCTCCATTCCATGCTTTAGTATATGCCATATTGTGATTCAAAATTTCAGAGCTTGTTATGAAATCCATTATTCTGTCTTGAGATGATGAAAACAAAGATATTATACACTTTAAACATTAAATATGCAAAATACTCAGCTGTAAAGTTGCCATTGTTGCCTGTATTAATCTATGAAAAAGCTGAATTATGTCCCTTGGGAGTATTAATTTCCAACAAAAGTCCTTTCAAACAGTAGAAAATGAAAAATTAAATATGCCTGATATAATAAAAGATAGAAACTACAAAATGAAGCACTATTGAAATATTTGCTGCATGAATTGCCAAGAATATGACCAATTCTTTACACAGGAGAGTATAAATTCTATCTAAATTTAGCCTCAAGTGGGCCTCTTTTTTTCTTAGATGGACAATTTTAACACTGAAAATGCCTTACTCCATAAACAGTACAAACTTAACCAGACAATTTCCCATTTTAATAGATTATGTCTACAGAAATACCCAAGTGATACATTTAGGGAATTACACAGCAAAAAAGGCAAATATTTCAGTTAAAAATATTTGTCGCGACTTGAATTCTTGTGTTTCCAATTGAATTAATCATTGCGAAAGGTGAAAACAAATACAAAAGAACTATAGTTTGGTGCATTTTATACAATATAGTTAATATTGAAATTCTAGAATAAAGTTTTATATCAGCACCCATCAATTTGACTTATTATGATGACTCAGCACTTTTCTCAACACAGTATTGTTCTCAGTGAAAATTTGTTATTCTTTGTGATAAAAATCAAATGTACTAATCAAAAGCTTCAAAATAGTATACTTTAACTGAAGTCTGATTGATTTTGATTTCCCTTGCTATATTCAGTATAATTATCTACATTTCTATCATTTAAATTTTAATTTTCCGGATTTTATAACTCGCTGTTAATACATTTTTTTGCCATCAAATGACCAACTATCTGCTCGGAGGTTTGTTGAAGGTCGTCTTTTGACTTATTAATGCGCATCTGAAACGACGTGCAAAACGTTTTTTAACAATTTTAAAATATAACAGATTACCGAAGACAATGATGAAGTCTTGTATATACTAATTATGGAGTTACATAAATGCTTTATGCTTTGATCGTTTAATCTTTAATCTTAATCTTTAAGATTAATCTGAGAATTTACCACTAGTATTGTATGAATGGTAATTTTTCCTTTGATCTTCGAGTGAGTTAAGTTGTGTTATTTTTAGAAGAGTGCGTTAACTGAATGATTTTTTTGTTATTGCACTCTCCAGTCCCGTCATGTGTCGCTTGTCATAGGAAACACAAAGAATGGGAGGAGCTTAGACTAGTGCTTGGACGTCCATCTCAAGTTTGTTATTTCACTGTCTAGCTCCGCCTCTTTGGCCTAGTAAACAATGAAATCAATGACCATAAAATTTCCTAATAAATTTAAACAAAATGCATACACAACAGTAAATGAAAACAATATATGGAAAAAAAGAGGGGGGCAGGGGGTTACACCAAAAGCTAGGCAAACTTGTAAATCTAACCCTTAATTAAAAATGGTTTCCTATACTTGAAACAAATAAATGCCAGTGGAAAGCTACAAAAAGGAATACCGTGGTCTATAAAAAGAGGCGATATTGCTATATTGGTGGATACTTGTTTTCATCGTGTCAAAATGAATATTCCAAAAAATTGTCACTGGATTTTTAGTCGTTTCATTTCCTCCACTTTTTAAAGGTATATCTCCGTGAATTGAGCATGCTTAAAATATTTATCTCTGGATCTTACGCAGTCAACAGCCCATCTATTAATCGTTCATTTTCATGGTGTTGGGAAAGGCACAATATCTTCACAATAAGTTATAAAAATTCTCCTTCGTTTGACTCTTCTAAAACTACACGTCCTATTCGTTTTGAAAGCAGGCAGCATGGTTTACATCTAACAATATTTTGCATCTTTCCCCTCAAGAATTTTCGCCCGGGGAGGGGGGCCACTTCATTAACGCATAAATCGCTCTCTGGTCTTCAACCTATGATGAAAGTATCACGACAACAATTCATGTACATGTACATCTATCATTAAATCAAATCAAATCTAAAAAGTCTAATCCATGAGTTCATTTTCTGAAAATTAGAGACATTTTGTCATAGAAAGCGCCACTATTTGATTGACATATTTAATTCATGAAAAGTACAGTGTTAAGTTTAACTCCTAACATGTTTCATCGCCCATTAATGTTACAAATCATATATAGCCACGCCGTACTTATTGACATATTTAATCCACTCAAAGCTACGCTTTTCATGAATTAGATACGTTAACTCGTAAAAGGCGTGATATATAACATGACGTTCCCTTTTCATCGATGCTAGATTTTGTTGATGATTTAAAGAAAAAAAGATTTAAGGACAGCGCGGTAGTCATTAGAACTAACTTGAACCAAGGTTATGTATGGATTTTGTGTCACATCATAAAAAAGCAAATATGAAAACCATCTTGCTTTCGATGGAAATCTAATTTTATACAGTTCTAATTTAATAGTGTGTTAAGATTTTTATTAGATTATTATCTATATTGGATAATGTTAAAATTTTATTCATTCAATCAATTAATAAAATAAATATTAGAAGCAAATTAAAATCTAACCCCATAACCTACACACAGACGCATTAGAAGGTGTCTTGTAATTGACAAAATATATCTGGCAACGTTCTTAATTACTCCCCGTCGAAATTAATCATGTATTTCTCATTTATATCAGCAAACATGCTTTCTTTTTTCTCTTTCACATTTTCTTCTTCAAAGCTTAATGTTTGTCTCTTTCTCTTCCTAATTGCATTTTCCATGGCAATGCTGGTCGGTTTTCGTCTACAAACTGCTTCTCTGTTCTTCACGAGTATAGTACCACATATGACAATTAAAATGCCCCCAACTGCAACACAGGCCATGAAGATAACAACATTACTGCTACCATTTCCTGGAAATCATAAACATATATATTTTGTTTTCTTTTTATTTATAATGTTGTGAAATTCATAGATATTTAATTACAATTTACAATAATAAACAAACAAAAAACAACTGCCTATATATCAGTTTGTTTGTACTTTTTATTTCATAATTTGGTAAAATTCATAGAGGTTACACGCATTCGATACGGATGTAATGTTATTATATAGTCGACTGTTCATATAAAAAAATGCCTATATACACAATGTACATGTATCTGTCTGTCTGTTTTTATTGATACAATCAATGCTGCGAATCAGTTTTACAATTTCTCGTTGCCGTTGGCCTATGCTTCATTTAGGACATTTTTACTTTGAATCCCTGACATGTGATTTTGTCTCGTTTTTTGCACAGTTTAGTACGAACCATTGCTGCCTGCTTCTTATCATAAAAGACTAATTTTTACCGATAGAAAATGACTCTCTGTTAGACTTTAATTTAAAAGGCTAAAAGTAAGGAACCCACAATTTAACTAACTATTTAGCTGTATACATGTAACAGATAAACGATGTATCTTTCTTTGAAACTTGAGGAAATCTGCATTCATAAACACGACGTAAGTAGCAAGACATACATGTAGGCCTTATATCATACGATATCTCTTTTTTTTGCGTGCAAAAAGTGTTTACCGATAGAAAGTGCATTTCTATGAGACTAATTTAAGGTTCGTTTGCTTAAACAATCGTGAATCAAATCACGATATAAGTTATATGATTTGTTACTTACCCCATACAGATCCATAAAGGGGGTTAGTAAAATCACGTGACGGCGTTAAACCAATCACAATTTCACTTATTTACCCGCGGTGCGATAAATTTAAACAAATGTAGCAGCTTACCTGCAGTCTGACCGCCAGCATTTGAAATCGTCGCTGTGTCTAAATCATTATAAATGTAGTTTAATTTTGATGCATTATGTTATTAAATATGTTGTATTACATGAACTCATAACTCATACAGTTCTAATGTAGTAATACTTCAAATATCTCGCATTTGCTTAATAGACGTATGTACATATATACAGGTTATACATGTAATCATATTAGTTTTTCGGTCACTTTTAATTTTCTGATACCAGTAATTATGTAGAAAAGAATAGGTTAACTTAAGGCTAACTTATTGTCTAAAGCAATACTGAATGTTTTGTTTTAAATGCTGCACAAATTGTACTGGGTATTGAACAAGGTCTTTCTCCAAAATGCACTATCACATACCTGTTTGAAATTCTTAATCAAATTAAGTAATTATTAAAAAAATTAACAGGTTGTGTACTTTCAGCTTGCTTTTAGAAACTGCGAAATTCTTTGACATGGCATAATATGGTTTAAAATGTGTGTATTTGTTTTCTTTTGCTATCTTTTGTACCTTTATTTTCCTATTTCGTTTTTCCTCCTGTATTGATTTGTTATATATTGTACGAATACCTTTTTCAATCCTGTGATTGAGTTTAAAAGAGGGGATTGAGATCTCTACAATAATAAGTTGAAGCTCGCCACATATTCATGTGGCTGTCTAAATAGAACATCGTCAGATGTGATCTAATACTTAATTTTAATTTGTGGGTTTTTTTTAGTATAATTTACTAATGTGTACAAAATTACTTTGAAAATTCTAATTCCAATTAAGCCTCTGTCTATATATCATTTTCACACGCCGTACAACCGATCTGTATGATTTATTCAAAACCCGACAAATACGATCACCGCTACTTACTGGAGGTCGGGTTGTATTTAATTTTATTTCTCCTAATGAATGACTTGATCTGAATTCTATTTTCTCTAATTCTTCGTCAATTTATCCCTTTCTGCATCCATTGTATAAAAAAAATTTAATCAACGTGTGGTTCGTTTGATCTCAGTTCTTCATTGGTTAAAATCCGATTATGACGTAGAATTTTCTTGCTTTCCTCTGAATTTCCTATTGTGACGGCATGAAAAAAGGCGACCATGCCTGATTACGTCACATAGAAAGAACACATCTTTTTGCAGATCATTCAAAAAGAAGGAAGAAGTTTGCCTGCATATTGTTTGAAAATCATTAGACAAACAGATCCCACCACCAAATCTCGTGTAATACGATATTTATCCACTCTCGACAGTTAAATTTTAAATATTTAAAACGCTCGGCAAGCCTTGCGTTTTAAATTTGAAAATTTAACTGTCTGGAGTGGATAAATATCGTATCACACTCGATGCAGTGGTAGAATCTATATTTACATTGTAGTCTACATAAAAAGTGATAGCGATTCAATGTAACATTTTCTTCTTTTTAATCTGACTGTTACCATTTTATAAAATTGCCTATGGAAATTTACTACGATACATTATTTACCGTGGTTTTCACAGACAGCCCGTGATGTATCAATGTCATCAAAGGGTATGTCGTAAAATATTATTCGCCAAAATAACTGCTTCTATTTAAACATGAAAACTATCCATTGATTATTGTTCTGAGGTATATTTACCGGTATATCAATTAAATTGGCATATTAATACCTCATAGAAGATTGCGGAACTAAAACAAATACTATGATAGATATTTTTCGTTTAAAACCAGAAATAAACGGTATTGAACGGTAAATTTCTTTTATCAATAACTATATATTGATTTGTAACGATAATATTCATCATATAAAAAAAACCCAGCCTATTTCATTCAAGAAATAAACCAATAAAAAGGTAAATGCAAAAAATCATCCATGTGGTATATGACAACAGCGTGCATGATCGTATTTGTCATGTCTCGAAAAAAAAAGGATAAAGGTAGGTTGTACGGTATACGTTATTTACACTCATAAAACTATAGTCATGCAATACGCTTTTCAACGAACACTTACGTGTAGTACTACCATTTGCAGCATATCCTGGAATGCATCCATTCACATGGTCACACCTGTGTATGAAAACATACCAATTCAACAAATCTCCCTTACTTGCAATTATTTATAAGCAAACATAACACATTATACGTAGACACGTTATATCTCACATGTGTGTTCATTATACAACAATTTCAGGCAGCAAGACAAGGACACAAGAAACTAAACGTTTCATATCAACAGGTCTTAATTATAGTTTAGTCTATAACGGAAACATAACAAAACCGAGAAAACAAATAATAAACACACATGTACACATTAACTGTCAAAAAAAGAACACAGTGACAAATAAAAAAACACAAATCAAACTTAATATTTTGATTATCAGATTTTCTAAATCGCAAAAAATTGTTAAATCATATAACAACAAATAAATTAGTACAAGCAGAAGACTTGAATCGATGTACAGGAACAAAAAACGCGGTTTTTTCATCCCATAAACAGCTTCTCCTCTTAACGTAAACTTCTTAACACATATTTATAAGCTGTTTTATGTAAACAGACGTGCATAACCTAAGCTATTTTACAATTTGTTTGTTCTTGTGCTTCATTTCGTCCGTGTTGAAATTATCACTCTCACTTTCAAATGCAATGGAAGCAATAAAATCGTTATCTTTGTTCATATATTATCTAATGTTACTTAAACTATGGTTCAAAATCCCTCAGGCACATATCGTCTTGGTAGGAGCTGGCTGTTCTTTTAGATCCCTTTGGTTTAATGCTTGATCATGTTGATATTTTTTGCATTCGATGTTTTTTTTTTTGGTCATGAGCCTACATTTTCATGATAAAGTGGTTTTAGAAACTCATGTCGAGGAAATAATTATCATATGGTTTCCACCCGCACAGTAGCAATTTGTTCGGATACCTTTTGGATGTCTAAATTTTGGTTTTGAAATATAAATGAAGGTAGACGTAAAATGAAGTTAGATATAAAATAAAGCGAGATTTCCTTGCTTCAGGATTTTTGATGAAAACAATTTTTGAATGAAAGATTCTTAATTTGATATATTGCAGTCGTCTTTGGGAAGTATTTACGATTGCTATCACTATTTTGCAAACCATTATGAAATATTTGTGCAACAGAAGTCGACCATACGTACCATGTAGCAATATACCTTTTACATAACTCTCGACACCGAATGATGACACCTACAATTTTTTATTTGAAATGGAGGAGTCTACTAAAGATTAACAAAATTCAGATATTGCATCATGAGCATAACCATTAAGGTCCAAATCTATTTAACGGAAACGGATATTAAGCAAATGACTATGGGATTTTCCTGGTGTACCCTGTCTCTTATATTATACGTATTACATGTATTGATAAATTCATTTCAAATTTATTCTATAAACCTCCAAGTAAAAAAAAGTATAATATACTTTTTGTCTACAATTATTTGATTATAAATATTTAGATGTACGAGTCAACCTCATGATAGACTTCGCTGCCTGTCAATATCTTTATAGTTTGTTCTTATGTTGTGCTGTTACACCACTGTGCCAAGTAAGGAGGACGGTTGGGGTTTTTCTCATTGTTGAAGGCCGTACGGTTGCCTATAATTGCTTACATCCACTTCATTTGAACTTTGGTGGATAGTTGTCTCATTGGCAACCATACCACATCTCCCTATTTTTATAATGTCTAGTTTGAAACCTTTTTATAGCCCACATTTTATTTCCCCTTTGCTACAAAGTGGGGCTATTGTAACTGGACTATCCGTCCGTCCGTAACGCATCTGTTAACACTTGTGGACACTGTTGAGGTTGTGTTTCTCAAAAAATCTTCTTCGCACTTGCTGCACGTAATTTATATAGGAAGGACTAGAAACCTTGTATGTTTAAACGACAAGGTCACACGACTATTTTAAGTTGCTATGAAATGCTCCGTTCCATGGTATCCTTATAAATGTTGCGGTACTTCCTTAATAGATTGGAGTCGTTTGGAATCATCATCCGTTCCTGTCTAGCAATATTGCAGTAGCACCTATGTATGGAGTTTATATATCTCAAGTTATACGTTATAAGAGAGCAATTACGAAGTCTTTTTGGACACGGCCGAACTGTGTACTCGAACCGGGTGTGTTTTCCTTCGAGTGAGGTCACCGTGATTAAGTAATCTCGTTGTAAGTTGTATAGTCGATATCACGAACTCATTGGCCGTTATAAGTTATCTGTGTCCCGAATTACACTAAGCCTTGTTCCTTTGTGACTGATTCCTCCCCTCCAGTTAAAAATTGAGTTGGTGAATTAGAAAAACTATAAAATATAGAGTACATTATGGAGGCATCCGAGGCCAATATAATCAGACATATCAAGAAAAAGTTTTCATATTTAATTAAATGGTCGTTTGAAAAATCTCATTACAAATTTATTTGATGTAACTCGTTTAAAGCCTTTTTCTGTAACGAAAAAGGAAAGTATGCTAGATACACTTACTGGAAATGTGAAGATATGATTGACGCTTTAAATTTTCTCCTGGACAACATATATGTACGTTTCGGTGATAAGTGTATCGACAAGTAGTAGGTATTCCTATGGGCACTAACTGCGCCCCTTTAATAGCAGATTTATTCCTGTATTGCTATGAATCTCAGTGTACGACCAAACTCAGTAAAGACACGTCATTATCACCTTCCGTTATCTAGATGATATTTTTTCGTTAAATAATCCAGAGTTCTCTAAATATACTACCGAAATTTACCCAAAAGAACTTACTTTAACTAAATCTAACATAAACAGCAGTAGTCCTTTTCTAGATTTGGACATTTCAATCTCTAAAGGAAAACTCCATACTAAAATTTACGACAAAAGGGACGACTTTTCATTCCCTATTGTTAATTTTCCTTTTTTAGACAGCGATGTTCCTTTGGCTCCATCATACGGTGTTTATATATCCCAACTCGTTCGTTATGCCCGTGTGTGTAGTGATGTCATAGATTTTAATGAACGTAATCCATGCATCACTGGTAAATTATTAAGTCAGGGATTTCGTTACCATAAATTACGTAAAACTTTTACTAAATTCTTTCTTAGATACACAGATTTGATTAGTAAATTTGGCTGTACCTGTAGAAAACTGATTAAAAACGGTATTTCACATCCTAAATTTTACGGTAATATTGTACCTAAAGCGCGGAAATCACTATGTGATCCGTGTAAACTCATCGAACCTTTAAACACACTTATTAGTAAAGGTTATCTTACCAATGTTGTAATTAGATCTTTGAATATAGTTTACATTGGCACTAATATCGATTTTGTCATCAGCAAATTAAAACATAACTAAATTTGTATTCTTTTCAAACGGGATGTATAAAGACACACCCACGTTCATTTTGATCTATAAAGAGGTTAACTCTCAACTATCCTACTGCCAATACATTTATTTTGGCATTGCACAAGTCATGTCTTCTTTGACTGTCCATGACGTTAAATGACTAAATCCCTGGGATGTGTTTTAGTTGATTTTAGTCTCTGATGCATGATTTTTTATTATTAATTGTTTTTGGCTTTTAACTAGCTGTCAGTAACTGCGAGTATCTCTCAAATCGTACTTTCTTGTTTATTTGACCTGTTGATACTAATTGTAATGCTTTTTTGTTATTTAATGTTATTCAGGGTTATATCTGGTGTATATACCAGCTTTGATAAGTGTTTGGTATTACTATAAATTTTCACTTCTTCATACTATGAACATCAAAATTATTTATTTTGTAAAAATATTTCTTTTCTCTATTTGAACTGTACACGTATACCTTACAACAAAATTATTTTCATTTATCTGTGTTTAAAGTAATTGCAAATGGCTAATATTTTTGTTCAAGCATATTGTTTTTCTTAAATTGTTTAACATTTCACAGCGGTATACCATGTTACTTTAATTATTCTTCCCTTAGTTTATTTATTTTGTATTTACATTGTACATGTTGTATCATAGATCAAATTTATTTGTTCAGTGTATGTCCACTGGTGCTAATATGTCTTTTGATTGAGTTAAGCCATTTCAATTGATATTTTATTGTGTGTTTTTCTATGTTGTGATGTTACACTATTGTTTCAGATAAGGGTGAAAGTTTGGTACTATTAAAACGTTTAAATCCGCCGCAATTGTTTGAACCTGTCCTAAGTCAGGAATCTGATGTTCAGTAGTTGTCGTTTGTTGATGTGGTTCATAAGTGTTTCTCGTTGCTCGTTTTTTTATATAGATTAAACCATTGATTTTCCCGTTTGAATGGTTTTACACTACTATGTGGTATGAGCGCCAATGAGACAACCCTCCATCCAAGTCACAATTTATAAAAGTAAACCATTATAGTTCAAAGTACGGCCTTCAACACGGAGCCTTAGCTCACACTGAACAGCAAGCTATAAAGGGCCCCAAAAATGACTAATGTAAAACCATTCAAACAGGAAAACCAACGCTCTTATCTATATAAAAAACGAGAAACGAGAAACACTTATGAACCACATCAACAAACGACAACCACTGAACATCAGGTTCCTTGATCCTGAAAAATCAGCAATCAAAAATTAGAACAGAGGTATTATCGTCATTGAAATGGTATGAACGGACAAAATTTTTTCGATTCGAATAAAACTATTTTTTGTTGAAGTATAAATCAACTACTGGTACTGTATGTCAAATGAAAGAGTGGGCAAACTTCTTCAAAGATGAACAACTTAACAATTGCATGTTTTTGTTGATTTACAGATATTTTCAAAATCTCAACTTTTTTTATACTGTAATTTAATTCCTAAAATTTGTTGCAATATACTTATGTTTATATAATTTCATCTTATAATTTACAGTCAAACTTGTATATTAAGGTAACCCACGGGACTAGACAAACTGTAAATGACGAGACGAGATGAGTTTTCGCTTCATATAATGTGTCATTTATAGCAGTTTTGAATATAACAATTTATTATTTTGTTACCTTTTCGTTCTGAAACATCTGCATGTTTCTGCGCATTTTTTTCCATATTTCCCATATACGCATTGTTCACACGTTTTGCCCTTCGAAGTGTAGCCAATCGGACATTCTGAAAGAATAATTCACATGTTTAACGCATCATCTTTTTTTTAACGTGGCAAATACTGTCATATTTACTTGGTACTATTGATTGAATTTGTTTCTTTTTCGTTTCATTTCCTAATTTAGTAAGAACCATTTGTTTTGATATGTGGATAGGATCTGCTTACCCTTCCGGAGCACCTGAGATCACTCCCGTTTTTGTGATGAGGTTCGTGTTGCTCAGTCTTTAGTTTTTTATCTTGTAAAACACAAGATAAAAAACTAAAGACTGAGCAACACGAACCTCATGTTTGTCTTTTTGGTCTTTTATTTTTGCCTTGGCGTTATCAGTTTGTTTTGATTTGGATACTTTTTTCGGATAAGTCTATGAAGAGGTGAACAAAATCCTTCAAAACGGAAATAATATTGAATGAATACTCCGCTTTTTGTTGGGTTGCGATTTCTTAAACTTGGTTTTTAGTATAGCGTTTTGCTATTTTCTTTTCCTTCATTTCGACGGAATCTTACAGCACCCCCTCTGATAAGTGTGATTTTCTAAAAATGTGGAGATGATATATGTTCAGTTAGTGCATGATAATCATATTCATTCAAATCGGCATAAAGATATAAAAAGAAAATGTGCTGGATTACAACATATCGATCAAGTTTATATTTTTAACGCATTAAAATCTTGAATTTTGAAAAACAAATATGCATAAAGCGTAAACAAAATTATGTTCTCATAGGGCAATGATCTGAACTATACACAAAATTAGCATAAGAGAGTATAAATAATACATACTAGTTGTTATATTTTTTGTAATTTTTCAGACGTTTATTTATTTTTTTTTCTCAAATGCATTAAACTTACCAACACAGACTCCATCCATTTCGTAATAATGACGACAACAATGCAACACTGTCCTGTTCCTACCTTGTCTTGTCCTGAATTAAGAATGCTCTTAATTAATTCAATTATGTTTAATTATAAAACAAGTAACACGATTTTAGAAAAAGATTGCAACGTATAAAAAGCCCCTCCCTATGCCAAAAAAAAAAGTCCACGGATTGATACATGTATCATAAATCCTGAACAAACAAACTGAGATAAAAGCAACATATTAGACTTTACATCATAGGAACTTTGGTCAGAGGATGTTTGTAACCTGAACTTTTTATAGAATTATGAAACCCTATGTATACATTAAAAAAAATCTAAATTGAAAACTTTTTTTATTTTTCGAAAATTAGAAATACAATTATACCAAATCTTATGTCGATTATTTAATTACTAATTTAGACGTATATAAGACCAAATATACAAAAAGCAAAGATCAACTGATGTAGGCACTACGACTAAATTTTCAAAAGTCCAATTAAAATAGTAAAATGATGTAAACAAATGTATGTCTGCATAATAAAAAATGACTATTCAAACCGTCGTATTCTTAACCTTTTCGGTAATGTAAGTTATCAATAAGACATCATTTTTTTCATTTTGTTATTGACATTTTCTATTTTCTTTCCAATAAGAAAAAGCACAACCACCATAGAAATAACAACATAACCAGTTTCGTCTAGTAAGCTATTGGCCGGCAAGTCTGATTTTTTAAAATTAATAACGTGTCGGATAAACTAAATTTTACCAGGCACCTCGAGGTAACAGCAGCCGAAATTGACAAAATATTGCAAAACGGCATCATAAAAAATCTAGTAACTCCCCATAATATATCGGCCTCGATCGTACATATATGTAGATCTGGAAGTCGGATTCGACGACTCGATTCTGCGTGGACTATCCTGGGCTAAACTTAGTCACGTTAATGTAACTGTCCCAAATCTGGATTTTCGTTAGTGGCCGTCTCTTTTTAAATCTAAATCAGGAGTTTGGTGTTTACCATCTTTGTATATTTAATTCATTCCCTACTGTTCTTGAATCTTATACTTTTAGATCAACTTTGTCGGACTCTTGTGAAGACGTACCTTTCGGCATAGTTCACTCTCATAACCTTTTGGAAATCTTACATACCCTTCTGATCTGTTAATCCCAGTTTAACAAGACCACACTACATGCAGTTGACAATATGAGTTTTAGATTTTTTTCTGTTAAATTACGGTCCGACTGCCAAATATTACGATGCGATATTGAGTGTAAGCACTATTATTATCATTATTATTATTATTTTTTCATTCATACTATTTTTGCTGCGAAAAGGCGAAGACCGCAAGCAATCAATCAATATAATAATTGAACTTGTTCCCTGAAATTGGATGGGTTATACAAATGGGAAGAAACTTCTTCATATCCCGTAAGGTACATGTATTTTTTTTCTGAATGATCACATGTATTTAAGTTGGTTAGCATGATATGGTTATGTAATTAATATTGTTTTCGGGAATAATTTATTGTTGGTAACACGATTCAGTGGTTGTCGGTTGTGGCTATGTACCATATTCATTTTCCATTCATTGTTTTGTATATAAATCAGTCCGTTAGTTTTCTGGCTTGAATTGTTTTACATTTGTCATTTCGGGACCTTTGATACATATGTTTTAACAAACAATGTTCCATTTCAAAAGTAAATATGAGCGACACTTTTTATTTCCGAGACATCTTCTATCAAAATATTATGTCTGTGTAAGACAAAATTCCAAAAGATTAATGTGTCGTGAATATGTGAAAGATTTAATTGAAAGATTTATAGCATAATTATCTTGATTTTCGAATTTAAAGGATATAAAAAGTGGCCTCAACTTATTTTCCTATTGCCAGGCATATCATGCAACTGTTGCAGTGAGAAAAAATGACCTTTTTTGTGTTTTATTTAAGAAGAAAATGAATCAAAATATTACGGCATACGATTACATTACATTGAGGAGCAAAAAGTGTATACGAATTGCTTTACTTACAATTCTCATGAAAGGATATTAAGGTATAATATTACGAAGATACTAAAGTAAAAAAAAATCATCGTCCCAAAATCAATTTCCTGTACTAAGACCAATGACATACCTTTGGTATTCTGAACAAACTCCAGCTGGAAAACCTCTAACTTGTACAGTAGTGATCATGATAATAAAAATGCTTTTAAGTACTATCCATTCCATACTTTTGCATGTTTTGTAAAAAAATATAAATTGAATACAAAACTCAAGGAAATAAAAAAAGATACAACTTGTGAATCATTGGACGAACATAAGGAAACAGTTTAATATATCATCATGAGTATCAAGTGTACTTCAATAAAGGTCAGGTACTTCGGGTCATAGTAACTGTATGTCGACAACTCCATTTGTAATATTTTTTACACATGTGTAAGAGATAAATTAGTGCTGGTAAAAGGTGTCTGGGCGGACATAATTTATATTACTCGTACAAAAAGACCATGGTTACAAAATTTATACTAGTATTTTTAGTCCGTTTCAGTAATTTATGTCCCCAGACTAATTTTCCTAGGATTTCATGTCCATGTCATTAAAATTCTAAGGTAAAAACGTCCAAATCCTTTATTTTACTAGGAAGATTTGTAAGGACAGAAATCATTTACATGTAAACAATGGAAATTGTATTTGTTATGTTTTAATAATTTGTTTAACAGTTGTGCATTAATCTTTTGAATAAAATTTATGTCCCAGACTAAAAACGTCCATGTCTTTTACTATTAGGAAAAATAGTGACAGACATATTTAACTAGCTATTGACTTATTTTCCTGTGGAAATTTATCCTGGGACTAACATTCCTAGAACAATCATAGTCATGGACTTTATTACCTATTGGGAAAAGGGGGACAAATTTTACTACCGGACTAAATTTACTGTTACACATGTACCACATTTATAAAATGATATACTTAAATTTGTATTCAATAAACACTAGTACAAAAACAGATTTATAGGGATTGTCTTTGTAAGATAAAGTGTTTAAATTGAATAAAGGCAAGATGTGCATCTTTTTATTATTCTCCTGTTACAAATAACCACAATGACAAACGGATATAAAATACTTGTCAAATGAAATTACAAATAAGTGAGATGTGAGCAGACATTCTAAGCCGGATCTGCTAGATGCAATAACGGTATGCTACATGTACATGTATATCAAAAGGTGCATTTTATACAACAGCAACACATCAGGAGCATGTAACTATGTGATATGGAAAGGTGTTTTGAAACTTTTATAGCAAAATAACACCCCGAAATGTAATTTGAAAATATGTAGTTGTGTTTTTATTACCTCATACTGGTCCTACGCTTTTGTCATCACTTTGCGTCCGTCGTCTGATGTCGTCCGTTGACTTTTACTTAGGATAGACTCTTGAATTTTGAAGAGTCGAAATATTAGAAATAGGATGAACGGATAATATAAACCCGAAGGAAAATATCATACAAGCCCAAACGAAAAAATATAAACAAGTCTAAATTGAAAACAACGTTCAAACCTATGATTGCGTTGGATAAAAACCGCAATTTTTATACGTGTGCATGCAAAACAAATTTCTTGATAGAGGGGTCTAAATACAGCACAAACAACATTTTCCAAAAGACCAAAAAAGTGAAAAAGTATATTTTAACAAAACGCGTTTGACTAACAGGTCGAATAACAGATGTTCTTAAACTCTACTGACTGCCATTGGCGATTGCCAAATAAACATATCACAAGATGTTACAAAATGGATCTTAATTATTAATTTAAAATTAATACCAAACAGAAAATGTTATATATATATTGAAAACAACGTTCAAACCTATGATTGCGTTGGATAAAAACCGCAATTTTTATACGTGTGCATGCAAAACAAATTTCTTGGTAGGACTGCCATTGGCGATCGCTAAATAAACGGATCACAAGATGTAACAAAATAGATCTTAATATTATTAATTTATTACCAAACAGAAAACAATAAACTTGCGGAAAAGATGGTATACCGCAAACATGAGGTGCAAAAATGTGTACACCATATCCGGATTTCGACAATTAATGTCTCTTCAGTGATGTTAGGAATCGAAACGGTATTTGGAAGGCCATATAATTTACCTCAATTTAGGATAGACTCTTGAATTTTGAAAGAGTCAAAATAGGATGAACGGAACATATAAACCCGAAGGCAAATATAATACAAGCCCAAACGAAAAAATATAAACAAGTCTAAATTGAAAGCAACGTTCAAACCTATGATTGCGTTGGATAAAAACCGCAATTTTTATACGTGTGCATGCAAAACAAATTTCTTGGTAGAGGGGTCTAAATACAGCACAAACAACATTTTCCAAAAGACCAAATGAGTGAAAAAGTATATATATATATATATATATTTATATATATATATATATATATATATTTATATATATATATATTTATTTATATATATATATATATATATATATATATATAAAACGTCTGAATAATAGTCAACGATTTTTCCCACGAGGGCGCTGGATCGTTACGAGTAACGATACACGTACACAATAAATAAATTATATAAACGCCTAAAAAGTGTACACAACAACACCAATAACAAAAAAAGGAACTATAAATGTAATTATTTATAAATATTTCGGATAACAGATATCCTTCATCAGTAAATATGATTGTGATGTTGAATGAATCATATATCAGTCTACTTAGATTAAACTATACAAATCTTGAAATTTATACAATAAAAATGTCAAACCGAACATCAGGTAAGACGCTTGCACAATTCTTATTGACGCAATCGTTCTTGTAACATCATAACTGTCGTCACCGTTAAAGCTTTAGAATTGTGCTAGTTCATATCGCACATTATTATTTTTATTTAAAGCATATATTTGAACTCTCTGTTGTAATTAGTCATATAACCTATGTCGTGTTTAACACATATTTAGAATTGTGCAAGCGTCTTACCTGATGTTCGGTTTGACATTTTTATTGTATAAATTTCAAGATTTGTATAGTTTAATCTAAGTAGACTGATATATGATTCATTCAACATCACAATCATATTTACTGATGAAGGATATCTGTTATCCGAAATATTTATAAATAATTACATTTATAGTTCCTTTTTTTGTTATTGGTGTTGTTGTGTACACTTTTTAGGCGTTTATATATATATATATATATATACGGTTTATATAATCCTTCATCCTATTTTGACTCTTTAAAATTCAAGAGTCTATCCTATATTGAGGTACAAATGTAAATTAAATGGCCTTCCAAATACTTTTCGATCCCTAACATCACCGAAGAGACATTCATTGTCGAAATCCGGATATGGTGTAAAATATTTAGCACCTCATGTTGTGGTTTACCATCTTTGCTGCAAGTTTATTGTTTTCTACTTGGTATTAAATTAATATAGAGATCCATTTTGTTACACCTTGTGATCAATTTATTTGGCAATCGTCAATGGCAGTCAGCAGGGTTTAAGAACATCAGTTGTTCGACCTGCTAGTCAAATGCGTTTTGTTTAAATATATTTTTTCCCTCTTTTGGTCTATTGGAAAATGTTGTTTGTGCTGTATTTAGACCCTTCTACAACGAAATTTGTTACATGCACACGTATAAAATTACGGTTTTTATCCAACGCAATCATATAGGTTTGAACGTTGTTTTCAATTTAGACTTGTTTATATATTATATAAATATTTTATGAAGCGAACCCCTTTAAAAACTAAGCTTATATATTCAATTAATAAATAGATAAATTAAATTATTTGTGTACTTGGATATGCTGAATATAACCGTGTATTTACATTTTGAATATTACCATAATAGGTAAAAGTCCAATTTTAAATTATTCAGTTCTTTTACCACATTCACTTTGTTTCAGAAACTTATACTGTGTCAAATATTCAATCACATTCCAAATTCAGAGCTGTATCAAGCTTGAATGTAGTACATCTACTTAGTATCCATAAGTGCCCCAACTGTTCAGGGTTCGACTTCTGCGGTCGTATCAAGCTGCGTCCCGCAGATCATTTTATTAAATTATGTTTTTCTTTGAGTAACATTACACGGTGACCATAACTTTATTCTATTGACCCCAAAGTCAACAGGCTTACACAATTGTCATAGTTGTTTTAAAGAGGCATTGCCTCTACAGCAAGATTATTCAACAAAAAAGGCACGTAGACATCCACAAATATTCCCGTGCAATGCCAGAAAATGACAAACCTACTCCACATTTTCTTCAAATAATACTGTTCGGTCATCAGTGAACGGAAGAATTTTTCTGTCTCCTTTTCACATGATATTCCTTGAAAAACCCAAGCCTCATATATTTGTAATATGCACAGAACCGAAATGTGATATTCAATATGTGTGGCAAACTAGAATTGATTTTTTTAAACGGACACAAAAACATCTATAGCGCTTCCGCAGACCAAAAATTCAAAAGTTTAATTTACAAACATTTAGAAAAACACAAACACAAAATTAAATTATTAAAATTCCAACCACTTCAAAGCGTCCGGAAGCAACCAGACAATCACATTATCAATTTAAAGAAATCCATAAAATTTGCAAACTGTCTTGGACTAAACGACTATAGACATCGTATCCCCTAGGTGTTAATAACGAGTGTGGTACAACATCGTTTTTCAGTCCAAAATATGAGTTTACACGTATCATTACAGCTTTTTTGTCACCCATAGACTGTTCCCTCGAATTGACAAACCTGAAGATCATATAAGATATTTTCTAAAAATAAAATACATTATCATTAATTTGTCTAGTATTTTTATTGACTCTACCGTTCAAAACCTTCATATTTTGATAACATAGAACCACCTTTAATTTCTTATATGTATACAAAAACCAGTTAAAGTTTATTTACTAATTATATGGCAGTTACATAAGACATTAGAATAGAAAATAATGCTCCTTCAACACGAGGCTGTAAAACATCGAAGTTTAGATATCATCACTATGGCCATGTAATTAAAGGGGACCTTAACATCGTTCAAGACTGAGAGGTTATAAACTTTCTGAAAAAAATTACCAATATATCGTTCACCGTCGAAAATAAGTTGGAAAGTGTGTCATCAGGTCATTAGAGATGTTCTTTCATCCTATTGTAAAAATTGGTGTAAAATAGAGAAATCTGACAAAAAATCACTTGATTCCTATTTCAATATCAAAATGTCTGAATATTGTTGATATC